CTAGGTGCCAGGCAGGTCCCAGGTGTTCTTAAAAATCGTAGAAACTCAAGCCTGGCCCGGGCGTCACATGAGTATAATATAAGCTCGACTGCATGTATTCTAAACTCGAAACAGCCTTGCTTGTGCAGCCCGGGATGTTCTGTGAAGGCTTTGTCCGAGTACCTCATCGATTGCCTTGCGAGCGAGCAGTTGCTCACGATGTTTCAGACACCCACAAAGGATTGCCGCAAGAAGTTGCTTCTGATCTCGGAGGCCTTTCTGAAGGCTTTTGCCGAGGCGAAGTCTCAGAAGCTTGTCTACGAAGAGCTTCCGGAAGTCGTGTGTGCTGTGTTGGATCGGTTCCGTGCCATTTGCAGTGCTTGCGTCAGCCTGAATCATCCCCGTCCGGGGCACGCCGGATCGAATACAAAGGACTTGTTGGACTTGGTGACCCATTCCACATCTCATTCGGCAGAAAAGAGGCTGCGCAAGGCTTTCACGGAGCCGGGCTCCGTGTGGCAAAAGCTGTACGATGAGCTGCTCAGTAAGGGACAGAGCACAACAACCCTGATCCCGCTGCTTGACGAGCTCACGGAGCAGCTCGAGAGCTGCGACGGGGGCCTGAGCTCCTTGGACCCACAGATGCTCAAACTCTGTGTAGAGAGCCGCCCGCGATTCGTCGACGAGATGCGGGGCGGCTTGGTGCAGAATTTTGATTTGCAGCTGTGCAGGGTGGCCCTGCTGATCGCCAAGGCAGTGCCGCGCCACTCGGCTGAGGAGCTGGCTTCGATCAACCCTGGCTTCAGTGTGGACCATGCCATGGCAGCACTAGACGCCTGTCTTGAGGCGCCAGGAGTGGCCGAAGCGAAGAAGGGTTTGCAGGGGTGGCACAAACGGGAAAAGTCCTCCATCCAGCTGCTCGAGCTCTTCAAGGTGTTGGAGTACTACCCCGACAAGATCACAACGGATTTTCCCGAAGACTTGCACTTTCCTTTTCATGGCAAGATCCTCTTTGACAGCATCCTGGCAGTCGGGACGGAGACATTGAGCAAAAATGAGAAAGCTCGCCGACTTTGCGGAGTAGCCTATGGCGTGCTTTTCGAGAGCTTGTTGCAGGTGTGGCTGCTCATCATGCTCATCACTGATGGCCCCGTCAGTTTTTGCGTCATTTTTCGGAACATGCTGCATCCTTTGGCATTGCACGGCGCGGTTGGGAAGATTCGCAGCAACCCATAATCAATAGAATCAATAGGGTCACTGCTTGTGGGCTTCTTGCAAACACTTATTCTTGACAAGTGGTTCATTCTAGAGTAATGCTGGAGTCCTCCGGTGCATCCTTTGGTGTGTCTTCATTAACATGGTACACCACGGTTGGGAAGATTCGAAGCAACCCATAATCAATTTGGGTGACTGCTTGCGGGCTTCTTGCAAACGCTGCGCTTATTCTGGGCAAATGGTTCATTCGTGCTGGAGTTGTCAGTTTGCATCGTAGGCCGTCTAATGCTTAAAGACACGGGTCCATACAACTTTGGATGCTGAAAAGGTTTCGGGTTCATGTTAATCAGGTGCAGGCCAGTCTAGGCCGTTGCTTTGATCACTCTTATCTGCAAATCTCAGCTGGCCTCTGTATGTATGTATGTACGTAGGTATGTATGTATGTATGTATGTATGTATGTATGTATGTATGTATGTATGTATGTATACATATATATAATATATGTATATAATATGCGTGTGTATATGTATATATATATATATATATGTGTGTGTGTGTGTGTGCTCGTTTTCTTTCTCTCTCTCTCTCTCTTCCTCCCGCTCTCTCTCTCTCTCTCTCTTTCTCTCGTCCGGGCTTCGGTTTTTGGTTTCACGAAATTGTTTCCGGTCTTCTGGTCACTCTGGTCACGTGAAATCTGTAACTTGTAAAGTAGCGAAACTGCGAATCTTCGGAATCACACAGGGATGAACTGAGTACGGTACGTGTGTGATCGCAACTTCCCAGTCGGCCGAAGCCTCGGGGTCGCATGACCTAGAGCCGGAGTTAGCAGGGCCCAGCCCCAGTGACTTGTTCCGCCCCTCGCCGTGTGGTCTTATGACGTGGACGACGTAGCGACCTAGTGACCGAGTGACTTGACTAGTGACTAGTGGACCGAGTGACCTAGTGACCTAGTGACCAAGTGGCTTAGTGCGATGTAAAGTGTGAGTGTTAGTGTAAGCCACGGCGCAGGTTCCCGGCCAGGAGTGGAAGGATGATGTCAAGGCTGTCGTGACACTGGGCATCAAGGCTATTCATCACCTTCAGCATCCGTGTGCGGACAGGGTGGAGGCTGCTTCCCGGGTCGTCCTGGCCGGCTGTGACTTCCTGGACCAGATTGCCGTGCTGAAGCAGATGGGGGACAGCGCTGAGTCGCGTGTCGCAGCAGATGCCAATTCCTCTGTCATCAGTTCCTTGCTGCTTCAGGCCAGCAGAGTGGCATCTTTGCTGACGGACGGGTCTGGAACTGATGCTCTGGTCCCCGCCAATCCCGGCCAGGAAGATGTGACAGCTTTGGTCACCTTGAATGCCGACTCCGCGATCCGGCAGATCCTTCAAGATGAAGACTTCATGCGTTGCTTGGACGTGACGGTGCAGAACATGACGCAGGCTGTCAAAGAGGCTCAGGGTGCGGCGACGGCTGCCGTCAAAGATTTCCACTACGGCGGGCCAAAGTATTGGAAAGCTGAGCTGGCGGATGACGTCGACATATCCAAAGTGCTTGAGTGTGCAACAAACACCATCGATGCCATTGATGGAGATGAAGCAGAGGAGGCGATCAACCGTCTGAAACAGGCCCGAGGTTCCTGTCGTCGGAACTACTAATACTACTTAGGTACGTAACTAACTACTTTGTTTTAGTGCATGGACGTGCCGTCATAGCGACTTCACGGGTGACAAGTTAGACTGTGCGGCCCGGTTGACACATAAACTAGTAACTAGTGACTAGTGACCTGTTGCCATGGTGGCCGCATTGTCGCGAACATGGACAGGGCGTACAATAACACTCATGTCCGTATTCGCTATTGATGGAACATCATAACAAGTTGTTTGTTGTTAGTAGTGAGTGTTCCGTTCCATGATGAAAGTGGTTGGTTTTATTTGCAGCATTGTTGTCTAGTCACTAGTCACAGGCTTTGGCTATGGAGCTGCGCAGTGCCTGTGGTAGCTGGTAACTGGTAACTGGTAGCTGCTTGCTAGCTGCTCCTGCTGGCACGAGTCAGTCGAATCATTTAATGTTGAGCCTCTCAGTTTGGATACCGGAAGTGTCGGAGTGCAGGGGGTTTTGTTCAGAGTTTTTTGAGTTGGGGTTGGGGACCTCGCAACCGACAGGCTCTGTCCAAGTGCGACGATTTCATCGGCAAGGCCACCTTTTACGGGACCGTGATGCCTCGGGTCACGGATTTCAAGGGTTTCGTGGATGGCTCGAAGGTCCTTGTGAAGAGATGCGCGGCCCTCTCTTGCGAATCTTTGCTCGCCTTTGCCCACGTCAGCTGCAAGTCGATTGAGTGGCAAGCGAGGCTGATCCGACATCAGCTCACAGAAATCATGATCGGCAACATCGATGAAGCGGACCTGCATCCGGTCCTGCTGCAGTCAGCAAAGTCTCTGGTGAACCAGGTTGGCAAGCAAGCCAGGGAGGAGAAAGACAGCAAAACCAACGCCCCGACGGCATCCCAGGCTGGCAAGCAAAGCAAGGAGGAGAAAGGCAGCAAAACCAAGGCCCCGACGGCATCTCAGGCTAGCAAGCAAGCCAAGGAGGAGAAAGACGACAAAACCAAAGGCCCCGACGGCATCTGCTGAGCCAGCCCGAAAGAAGGTGCGGATCTGACTTCGTCCTTGAGTGTGCTCTTCTGTCCGCTGGGCGAGCAATGTGGGAACAAACACGTTGCGCTTTTAACTTCAGCATGTGCTGCAGCCGCACGTCGCAAGGCTGTAGTCACGTGCTTTGTCGCACAGTGCGGGGGTTCGGGCATTTGTAGACTAGCTAGTCACTAGTCGGCAGTCATGACTGTAGTGCACTGAAGAGAGGTGTCCAGTGTAGTGCAGTGCATGTGGTCCGTATGTGCGCAGATCTGGTGTCTTGAATTATTTTCACCTAGAGCCGGCCTGCCCGGTGGCTAGCTGCTGTTACATTATAGGATTGTAGGGTGTGTAAGCCTGCCAACCCGGCTGTCTGAGTAATGAGTAACATTAAACCTATTTTACTATGTCCCATGTCTTCCTTTCTCGAGGCCCTCGGGAATAATTCGTCAGTCAAAGGGAGCTGGAATTGGTGTCTTAGTTTGATCGCGGGGAGGGTATCGCAGAATGTCCGCCTGTGTGCCAAGTTTCTCCGCTTCGGCCACAATGCAAGTGCACATCAGCCTTTTGAGACGGTCAGGCGCTTATCCGCTAAGCCGCTAATTAACTTGGGTATTCAGTCTAAAGTCTGGGGTCTAGAGACTAGAGCCTAGAGAGTCTTGAGAGTCTAGAGTCGAATCGAATCTAGCGGATCTAGCGACTTTCAGTGACTATAGTGGTTCTTGCATTTACGTTTGTGGTGTAGCAATTTTGGGGCAGCCTCTGTCGTGATGTGATTGGTCCTGGTAGGTAAGTCGTGAAGTAGTAAGTAGTGTGCTGTCTCAGACGAAAGATAAGTAACAGTAACAGCACAAGGCAAGCTGCAGCGGCTCCGAAACCAATTTAATTGTAACCTCTCATGTATGTAGTTCCCAAGCACGAACTTACGGTGTGAAACCCTATTCAGCCCTGTTGCCTAGGCCTAGGCCCAGTCAATAGTCATACTCAGTATACTCAGTAGTCGCTGGTGTACTCGCCATGTTTTGTGGCTTTGTGCGAGCACGCAACCACTGCGTGCAGATTCTGCAGATGTCAACGGGGAGTCCGTTGTTTTGGCAGAGAGAGTAGACTGAGCTGGAGCAGAGTGCATGGCGGGAGTTTCGAGCCTGGCCGTTGGAACATAGGACATAGGACATAAGGACTTTCGCAGCAGCTTCACTATGTCAGGATATTGGGCTCGCTCTGTAAATTTGTAACCCGGTACTTAGTACTTGCACCTATTGTAGACTATTTAGACCTGTGGTCCCAGGCTACCGACATTCCCATAGAACCATGCCACAACGGACGCAGGGCCGTCGACCCTCAGACTCTCCGATGCGAAAGCGACAGGAAAATGGCAACCTTTGTCGCATCTCAATTGCTTCAGCCCTGCTTAATTTTCCGTTCTCGGGTTTAGGGTTTAGTATTTTGGTTCGTTAGGGCAAAGCTTTTTGCAACGGCAGAATGCTGTGGAGTCTTGGAAACAATGAAGCAAATCACAGGAGATGCGGGGGCTTCCATTGCAGAGTCTGTTGACCTATCGGTCTATCGGTACCGTTCATTGTTCTAGCGGTTGAGCCTTACATTCATCCTGCGTCGCCCTCTCCATGGCGCCACGTACCGAGACGTCTGTACGTGCATAGCTGGCATAGCTGCGGATGACAGCGTGCCCATATCATAGTGACCAGCGACGAGGGCCTAGGGTTATAAGATGTACGGCGGCTTTTCCGTTCGTGTTGAAAGGAAACGCCCTGTGGTTTAGTTTGGCGGGAGTTTCCTGGACCGATGCCGTGTATATAATTGCAATAAATTCATAATAAGATACTATGTCATACAGTATTTGTGGAACACGTATGTCATTGAGCATTTTCTTACAACGTTATGTATGTATGGATTTGGACTTGGATACTGTTGCTTGGTGGGACTGCAGTCGTCGTGTGTATGCTTTGGGCGACGGCTAGATTCAGCTAGATTCTAGATTCTCGCTAGATTCGAGATTCTGCACTGTAACAAGCAAACCGGACTCTCAGGCGGCTCGTCTCAAAGGACAGCGGAGTGCCGATGACACAAGTGCCACATGACAGAGGCAATAGCAAATGTTCAACAACACGGAACAGGAGCGCAAAAAGCAACGGCATCTTGACCGCAGCAGAAACAAGACAATTACTTACAGAGATGTACAGCCCACATCGTCGAAACAGAATCAAGTCAAAGGCTTGGACGCACAGCATAAAATACGGCAGACCCCCCAACCAGAGCCAATAAAAGCGCTAAGGACAAATGGAAAACCACGAGCAGCAACCACAAAAATCTAACGAATAACCGTTGAATAACCAGTTGACATACAAATAGATTCAAATAGACGCCAGGGAAATGAACCATAAAACAAACACAAAAACGCTGCAAAACCATGTTTTTCCGTTCAAAACAGTATTGAATACATATTAAAACAGCACACAACTCCTGAATTTGGCCGGAAAATCGTAATTTTTTCATAAATTTTTTGTAAATATTTTCAAAAAAAATCAGAGTTCATAAATTTTTTCAAAAACAAATTCGAAAATATTTCAAAAATAAATTAATTCCATGATTTCTTGACCTGCCCGCCAGCGGGCTTCTCTAGCCTAAACCCTGAAAATTTGCGACGCAGCTAGTTGGTTAGCGAAATAGCAGAAATCCAACGTTCAAAGCCGCGAAACGGGTCCCAGGGCTCTTCTAGCTTGCTGGGGCTCCCTCAAAGAGTCCTCTAAATCCGTGACGTCTCCTGTTGCCTAGCGAAAAAGCAGAAATTTGGTGCCCAAACCACAAAAACGAAACCCTTTTCGAAACCAGCGTCCCAGGGCCCTTCGAGCCTGCTGGGGCTCCCTCAAAGAGTCCTCTAAATCCGTTGACGTCTCCTGTTGCCTAGCGAAAAAGCAGAAATTTGGTGCCCAAACCCCAAAATGTAGGCCTTTTTGAAACCGGCGTTCCTGGGCCCAGCTTGCCTGCTTGGGCTCCTCTATCAGTTTACCTGTCACGCGTGCTTTCTGTGCGTTTGAGCTCGGGGCGTGGAATGATTTGCTGGTTAAATCGTCTTGGTGGAGGACATCTGAAGAACCGCCTGCCACGAAACTGCTCTAGTCGGAAGTGTGGGGATTGTCACTGGCCGCGTAGTGACCGCGTAGTGACCGCGTAGTGACTGCGTAGTGACTGCGTAGTGACTGCGTAGTGACTGCGTAGTGACCGCGTCAAAAACCAGCCCGAGAACGGCTGCGATTTTTTGGTTTTTTGATGAAAGTGTGCTGCTATGTAACCGTTCGAATCTGGAGTGTGGGGATACTGGAAGAACAGCTCATTTTGAGAAAACCGATCCTTCCGACCGCTCTTTCGGACCAACGTGCTGTTAAAAATGTTAAGAAAATCTAATCTGAACCAGTTTGGAACAAAATTGGAACAAAATTGGAACAAAATGGAACAACATTGGAACAGAATTGGAACCAAATTGGAACAAAATTGGAACTATATACATTGGAACAAATTGGAACAAAATTAGAACAAAATTGGAACAAAATTGGAACAAAATTGGAACAAATTTGGAACAAAAATTGGAACAAATTGGACCAAAAATTGAATAGATCCGAGATATGCTGAGTAGCTTTGCTGCAAGATCGACACGATATATGCTGAGGCTTGGCTGCGAGATCGATACGAGATAGGCGGGGCAGATTTGCACACAGAAAAACAGCCGTTTCGAACCTACGTGCAGTCAAAACAGCCCAAAAAGAATTATGACTCAAGAGTGCCTCCATTTGCTATTATTCCCCTTCTCAAGCCCCCTTGAAGCTCCTTCTCAAGCCCCCCTTCAAGCCTCCCTTGAGAAGCCCCCTTGAAGCCCCTTTGAGAAGCCCTCCCTTCTCAAGCCCCCTTCAAGCCCCTTCATTCAGCCCCCCCCCTCCCCCCCGGCTTTCTCAAGCCCCCTTCGAGAAGCCCTCCCTTCTCAAGCCCCCCTTCGCCGAACTATGATGGAGCATGCCCTGCTTGACAGTGGCCGGTGCACGGAAGTTCCCGTCTGTGTGACTGCATACCTGCATCTGGACGAGGATTAGCTGCCGTGTGTCCATTGCCGCAGCTACTACATTCTGGTAGTTGAGAGGCGTAATCTTTCGAGTAAGGCACGAAACATCCTACTAAACACTCAGCCTAAGTGTACAAGCCATACATCCTGCTCAGGTCAAGACAATGAAGCTGCAAGATCATTCGAACAGCATTTTGTCTGTGATGTGTTTGCGCTCCTAACCGGCCCCGCAGCCTTGTCCCAAATCGATTCCACGTTGACTTTGGAATTTAATTGATTTTTGTCTTTTGGATCAGGAGCGTCAAGAACGCCCATTTTTTGCATCGGTCTAGATCTGGTCTGAAGAACGGAGCGGCCATTTCTGCAGAATCATCACCCTTGGGCACTTCTTCAACGCTGCTTCAGAAGTGTCTTGCAAAAGAACCTGCAATCTTTCCTCCCTTCGGTTGCCGGATGGTGAAATGTTCTGAATCGCAGGGTGGTGCACTGTCGTGCAAAGTCAATTCAGTCAAAGCAAGTTCTTGAATGTTTGCTTCAGCTTGCTGTACACTGGACAGAGAGGTTCTGTTGCCGTAAACAAGCGAGCAAACGAGCATCCGAGCAAAACACATCCAGACGACCAAAACGAGCAAAAACAAACGAGCACCCAGAGAACCAAAACGAGCACAAGCGATTGGACGTGTCCAGAAGAGTCAGGCACATTGAGAAGAGCTGGAAGACCAAGCGGGCCCAATCGGGTTTCTCATTGCACATTCATTACATTGAAGTCTGGGGCCGATCTTGTCATGCTGTGCAACACGCACTGGTCCCCACTTTCCGGAAAGGTGGGTCCAGGGTTGGGCTCAGGTTAGATGCACAATCGTTTTTGCTGTGCTCAAGATGAACTGTCAGGGTGCCCAAACGAAGCCAGAGCACGCAGAGAGTTTCG